AGAAATTATAACATATTCTTTGATTATTTGGCAACCTGCATTTTTTGCATATCAGTGCTTTCAAATGTCACTTTGGACTGTCTTAAACAGATTAAAACTATCTAGTCATATCTTTGTTAGCCAAAGGGTAAAAGTTTAGATTAGACAGGAAGAGTCGATTCTAGTGGTCTATCACACACCTTGGTAATGATTATAAATACTGCTGTGTATTTCAAAATTGCCGAAAGGAAATTGTAAATGTCCTCACTACAAGTAATAATAAATATGTGAGGTAATGGATATGTCGATTCTTTTAACTTAAGCATCCTGTATGTATATAATGTGTGTATGCATCAAGGCTTCATATTGTACTCATATATATATATATTTATATATATAACAAATTTTAAATAGAAAACTCAACATAAATTGTGTTAGCCAGCTTTTTGTCATTATGACAAAATACCTGAAGAAACTAATTTAAAAGAGGAATGTTCATTTTAGCTCTTGGTTTCAGCTCAGGTCAGCAGGCTCCACTGTTTGAGGCTGTGCTGAGGCAGAACATCCAAGCTGGGAGAATGCTGTGACGCAACCCTGCTCATCTCATGGATGCCTGGAAGCAGAAGGTACAAAAAAAAGAAAGAAAAAGGCAGGGAACAAGATACGCCCTTCCAGGGAATGTCTTCAGTGTTCTACTTCCTTGGCTGTGGTCCATATTCTAATTTCTACCGCCTCCCAACAAGGCCATCAAATTATGACTCCGTCAGCTGATTAACGCACTGGCAAGGTCAGAGTCCTCATGAACCAAAAACCCAGGCCTTTAATGCATACACCTGTGATGGACATTTCATATTCAAGTAACAGCATGACATAGGTAAAAGGATGACATCTTAATGTGATCAAGAATCGTTTTCCTAATGTTAATGGGTTTAATAAGATAAAGTTATTTGAAATGTAATTATAATGTTGTAATTATAGGGAATTTGGTGAGGATTTAACACGTTAAAATAATCATTATCAACTCACCTCAGTTATATACTGCCTGTTATCACATTTGTTTTCTCATGTTCATATTCCTACCTGCATATGTACCATTCCATGAATTTGGCATCATTTTAACAGAATTGTGTATCTTAATGTTGTTTACTGTATTGTGAGTATATTGCTTTCCTTTTGAGGTCTCTGAACATGTGATTTTTAATGGCCACATAATTATTCACTCTGCAACTGTAGTATATACCATACATTATTCAAGATCTTCTATTGCAGACAATATGTGTCTTACTGTGTTTCACTTAATAGTGACAGTATCACTAAGAAATATGTACTGAATATTGCCTCATAGGTCACTTTCTGCCTCTGTCCTGTATTTGTTCTTTTCCCCCATTGAGGTTGCTTCTTGATGAGGACTCTGCATACCCGTCTTTGTCTCTGAGGAAGCTTCTTACCCAATCTGTAATAGGGGTAACATGGTAATGCTAACAAAATTACACACTCATGCCCCATCAGCCAGCTATCCCAATTCTACAGACACAGCGAGGTTATAAAGATGCATCTATCAGGACATTCATTGCAGCCCATCTGTAATAGTAAAAATACTGGAAAAATTAAAATTCATACTGGCAATTCAAATGTCTGCCATTAAGGAACTTAATAGATTATATGATATCTACACACGGAAGCACAACAGAACAACAGGGCGTCTTAGCATTCTGTTATGTAGCCATACCTAGTTTGATAATTCAGAATACTATTGAGCAGAAAGAGTAAGTGAAGAAAAGCTCATAGTGTGCCACTGCTTTCTCAAAGAGAATACTGATATGTATGCATATGTCTGCTCATGTACATAAAGAAATAATGCAGCATTAATGAATTTAAACAGTGAGGGGAGAAAGGCATTACATGTGGGAAGAGAATACAGGTTTAAAATTTTATTTTTCAGCTACTACAGAACTATTTGGCATAATTCTAAAAGTTAAATAGCAAAAGCAAATAAACAAGTAACCGGACATTTCCAGGTACCCAGTGGTATAAGCACAAAAAAAGGGAACTGTTCTAAAGGGCATCAAAGTTCACTGATCTAACTTCATATAATATCCCTAGGAAAATATGCTAGGAGGATGAAAGGCACAGGAAATAATCACTGCTATTTATTGCTAAGGAATGTTTGCTGCTATTTGCCTACCTTTTCCCTCTGCCCCACCTTCCTTCCTTCTTTTTCCCCACTGAGAGCAGTTTTTAAGGAACTCCCCACACTCCATGACTCTGTCCAAGTCAGCTTCTTGGGAAACCCAACCTCCAAAGGGGAACTCTATATATATATATTTCTTCTTAGGAAGCCAACTGATACAGCTAACTTGGCAATGTTAGTAAATATTCCTTGCAGTTCCCATCAGTCAGCAATCCTACAGTCATTTTGCTATTGGTAGTACTGTCATTTGAATTTTGCAACTGTTGGGTGTATATTACAGTAAAGCAAGTAGTTCATTATGTTGGTATCTTACAAAATGGGGAAAAAGAGCTGACTCTCAGACTCTACACAGCACATTCTCCTGGACCTTCCAGTACTGAGCCAATCAAGTCTGCCCTTACTATTTTGAGGTTGAACTGCATCTACTCTTCCATTTTCCTCTGCTAACTAGTTTCTTGCAGTAGACGAATGAGACTGAGCATGAGTTGACCATTCTCAGTACTGGGCCACAATTGCCCAGAGGAATATTGTACTGCTCTCTCTATTTCTTCGTATACTTAAAGTTCCATAGAAAATGAAACTTAAAACAAGAAAACCAAGAAACTTCAGGTTTAGTAGTAGAGATGGAAAATGTAGGTGGAGATGAGGAAAAACAGCTTTCCTTTGTTGAAAGGGAGAATTCTTTGAGGCAACCGAGAGAACTATGGTGCTGAGACTTAAGGTCAGGAGACATTTAAAGGGCCAGGTCAACACTTAGGGGTTCATGGTTTCTCCTGGAAGGACTACTGTAACTTGGAAAGCACCACAAGCAATTTGGGAATACATGGTCATGGCCTTGCTCCAGTAAAAACCCTATTTACAAAAACAGGGGGCTGGCCCATAGGCCTGAGCTTGTCAATTGGCTAGAGAATCAGAGCCAGCTTAGAGCAAATCAGATTCACCTCTCTGTGACTGGTTAACCCAACCCTCTCTGTAGGGAAGGACTCTCACACTCCTTCCCTGGGGCTGAGGGCCATGGGCACTGCTAACTGCTCACTCAACACTGACATTCCCTTTCTCCGTTAGGGAAGGACTTTGATTTCTTCAGAGATGCCCCTTTAAAAATATCCTCAGACCCTTTGGTGGTTAAATTTGACCACTTGATTAAGTTTTATTCACTAAAATATCAATGGAGATCCATGTCAAGACTGCAAGAAAATAGATTATTTTCTAAGTTACAAAAAAGAAAACCAGATAGACTCAGCTAGTGTGTCTACTCAAGGAATCACGCCTGGGTGTAACTAGAGAGCTGGGGCAGTGCTAGTCATCATCACAAAAGGTGAAAGCAACAAACCACAGTGAAAATGGGGACAGAGAGGGAAGCATGTAGCTGGGGACATCATGGAGAAACTGCCATAACCCTGGACTGGCTACCTGGGCTTCATAAGATATATAAAATCAGAAATTGTTAAACCACTACGGTAACTTTTTTACATATGGAAAAAGCACAATTAGTCATTAATATCTCAAAACCCCAAAAATCTAAGATTAAACTCTCAATCCCTTCTACTCTCATTAAATGACATCATCTTTAATCCTTATGATCAATATTATCAATTTCTCTTTTTCATTTCTTGCTCCATATCCAGTCCATTGACCCAGCCTGCTGGATCCTACCTTGGGAGCAAAGACACAGCCATACCTCTTTCCAGTAGCTCTATTCCATCATCCTAGACATGTCATCAGCAGCTCTCACATGGTCTGTTTCAGTGGCCTCTTATGGGTGTCCTCCTCTCCATTGCACCCTACCGTCTGTTCACCAACCATAGGGTTCCTTTTGCTGGCCATTGGCTTATTCGCACTTATGGCCATTGTTTGTACTCTGCCGTCTTCTGTGTTGTGTTTGCCGGGCTCCCTTACCCTAACCCTGGTGAGTTCAGCTAGGAGAGGCAGAGGTTATCTAGCCAGTGAAGCAGGAAGGAAGAAGGCCCCAAGGTTGGTGGTTTTTTTGGGTTTTATCTCTATTGAACACCAGGTCTTCTCCAGGACTCCAGTTAACACTAGACTGACCTCTTATCGGGAGTCTTACTGCTGCTTGGCAGACTGATCATGAGTTCAGCATCCATATGGTGATCACCACACCTGGGCCCCAGTAGTGCCACCATTTTCTTCAATCTGCCCTGCTATTTGGGCTGAGGTCCAGTCCTATGTGGTTTTCTAATATTCTCTCACCTGAACTATGGGTTCTGTATGCTAAATTTCTTCTGCTTGAAACACCATAGAATTCCAACCAAACTGGACTGATATACCTTCCCTGAAGAGGTTAAACAGCCTTTATTCTCCTCCTCATTGTTATATCTCAAGTCATGCCTTCTTCCCTTCTTGTGGCTCCTATCAACATTTGATGGACTTCTTGTCTATTGGTTTGCTTACCTGCTTATTTTTTCCACTGATTCGTAAGCTTCATGGTAGCACACAGTGTCTGTTTTGATTCCTGCTACGTTCCTAGTGTACAGCATAGGGCTGGGCCCAATCGTAGATGTTCATGTAGATATGCCAGTGTTTTCTGACTCATTTAGGACACTGATAAGCAGTCTGTTTCAGATACTCCATGTGGAGAAACAATGGCAATAGAGCAAGCTTTTCTCGTAAGTGGATAGAAGGGAGTGGCCAGTAGGACCAGCTTTTCTTGTGCCTTGAGGCATTTTAGTGACCGTGTTTTTGATTTTGCAGCAGTTAGAAAACTGAATAACAATAATCACTTGCATTGAAATGGATACTCACTGGAAAAGGAACATCAGCACTATTAAAAAGTGTTAGAATCTATTAGGGGTTGTAGTGGCACACTCACCTGACATGGAGTGGGATCTTGGGTACCTTCTTGGAGATCTTGAACCTATCACCATCCCCATAGACATCTGTGAAATACACTCCAGCCACACTTGTCACCTGGTTCCCAGGGAAACTGAATAGCACCTTGTCACTGCCGTGTTGACTGGCCCAGTACCAGGCCTGGCCTCCAATGAGCAAGCCCCCACCACGCTTCACAAACTGGACCAGCTTCTCAGTCAAACTGTCATTGTAGGCATCCGTGCAGTAAACACCCAGAGTCTCTCCAGGTTCAGGCTGAACCAGCGCCTCTATGCCAGAGTCACCTAGGATGTTTACTAGTGATGCCAAGGAGGGATGCACTACAATGGGAGCCCCTGGGGAGGGGCAGAGCCAGCTCACTGCATTGAGAAGAAATGGGGTAAAGCCAGCATGCAACAAGTAGCCCTCATGGGATATGACAACCAGGCGGCCTTGGCCATAGGAAGAGGCAGCAATGAGCACCTGGCCCTTGTCGTTCACCATCACTGGGAAGGCGGCCTCCCCAGTAAGAAGGAGTTCACTGGGAATGGATTCTTTAGGAAGATCCCAGCTGGTCACTCCATTCATGAGGGTCTCAAAAGCAGCATCAGGAGCTGTTGCCATGGTTCTTCCAGATGCTGCAAGAGGACACAAAGACCCATGTTGGTCAAAATAAATTGAGGAACTAGAAAAAAAAAGGCAAGCAACTAAATGTATTTAGTCTGCAAATTATTAGGACCCCACTTTTATGACTCCAATATATAAGAAGAGTAAAGATGATAAATAAGTAGGCTTATAAATAAAAGTGCAGCAATTTCCAGTTGCTATGTGATGATGAGATACAGACCAGTCAATTGGAAGACTGCTTTAGATTGAATGACAGAAAAGACCACCCAAGAATGTGGCCTTGAAGCTGAAACCTGAAGTGCTATGGGAAGAACATGCTGGTAAGAGGCCCACCAGGGCAGCAGTAGAGTCAGGGAAAGGCGAACAGGACCTGAGGTAGATAAGGAAGTGCAGGTTCCTAAATGGCCTGGTGGATCAAATGCAAGAGTTGACTTAGTGTTTGTTGTATTCGGTCGGACAAAAGAGTAACATGACCTGTCAGAAACTGCATTAGTTCTGACAGCTTTCCTTACTGTTGGAAATGGCTTCCAAATGATCAAATCTGCCCTAATGGGAAGCAAGCCCCCACCCCCAACTGTCTGGTCAGAGGTCTTTTCAAATTCTTCTGAAGCCTGTATGCTGACAGCTGAGCTCATTCCAGTATTCCTTCAGTTTTTCCCCTCTCTCTTCTTCCCCTTCTCCAAGTGCCATGGATCATAGCAGGTGTCCCACACAACTTCTCTATCCCCACATCTGAGTAGCTCACCACTGGGGACTTTCTGTCCATTCCCATGACTAACAGGACAGCCCTCCATTGGCTGTGACTGATATCTTAAGTTAGTTTCAGGTACTGGAGGGAACCATGGATACACGCTCAGGGCCTCCCTGAGGTGCATCCTAGGAGGGTCCCTGGAAGGACTGAGCTCTGCAGACTCAGTTCTAGACAGCCAGCACTCACCCTTGCTCGGCTCCCTCCTTTCCTGTCTGACCCAGATTCTTCACTTAGGGTTTTCAGGGCTCTCTTCCGAAATAAGCTTCAGGGGAGAACCCGAGCATATCAGACCCTTGTGCCTCTTGCCTCCTTTGTTCCTCCTGTTCTTATGAACTGTCAATAGCTCATGTTGCCAGTCTCCTCTCATCTGTCCTCATAGTCCAGTCCGCTTAGCTCTCGGCCACGACCAGGCTGAACTGACCTGGTCTGAGCCTGCAGAACGCATTCCCACCTTCATCTTGCTTGACTAAGAACTCTATAGCGCCCTCACATTTCAACCACTCCCCGTGTGGTGGAAGTATGGGTCTTGGCATGTCCGTATGTGCTCCACCAACCCCACTTTCCCATCCCACTTCAAGGCACTGCTCCCAGGAAAGTGAACAGTGGGAAATTCCGCTTAGTGGTCTGGGGTAGAAAAAGGCCGCAGATAGACCAGGAACCCCAAGCTCAATCTCTTGTTAAGTTTGCCTGAGAAGAAAGTTCTCTTACTTTTCCCTAGCTTGGCAGGAAAAGTAAACAAAAGCCACGTGGGTAATCTGTCCTGAAACGACAGGCCCACCACTCTGTAACTAAATGTTCTTGCACACGCGAACACACACCTTCATCAAATTCGCGACTCAAGTTCAAAGAGCGGAGATAAATCAGTTCTGAGTTAACTAGAAAATTGTACCAGATAAACGAAACTAAAAGAAACACAGACCTGTGGAAGATACACTGACTCTCGGAAATGACGTCCGGTAGCCTTCTGACACTTTAGGGGTTTCCTCCCAGCGTAGCCCAGCTGCTGGAACACCCAGCCTCACCCTAGAGCACACCAGAACCAAAAATCTCACGCCAAGAAGGTCGCTGTGCCTGCCGACTGTAGGGGCAGACGAGAGGAGTGCAGTCAGAATGAAGTTCTGCCTAGGGGCGGGGCCTCCCTTGGGCGGGGCTGTAGAGGGCGGGGCTATCACGGAAGCAGGCTGTCATGCAGAAGGGCACCTGGTTGGGTCTGGAGAGCGGAGCTTCTCCAGGAGCCCTGCTACCAGGGAACTGGGGTGGTTAGGGGCAGGGCTGTCCAGTGGGGTGGGCTAGTTGGGAACTGGGCTGGGTAGGTGTGGGGCTGTCCCGGAGGCGAGGCCCTTGGGAAGCTGAGCTATTACCGTAACCCGGCGGGTTGGCTGCAACCTTGATGGGAACCTCACCTTGATGCAGATCTGCCTGATTCTAGACCCCACCCTACCTGGAGAGAGAGAGAGGACTCTCTGCAAAGCTGTTGATGGACCAAGGGAGAAAAATCAAACTCCAAATCTCCAATAAATCAGATTCAGGGCGAAAAATCACCAAACAGCTACACTCCCAGACCCGGAATCTGGCACCGACTGGCTTGGTAGCACGCCAGGGTTTCACTGCTGGGGTTAACCCCAGCCTGGCTCGGGCGTCAGGGCCTGCCCCCTGGTGACTGACACTGGCCGTGCACCTGTAGGGATCTGCTGGGAGGGCATGCTAGGCATTTTGGCCTGAGTATGCATAGTAATCTGTTCCAGAGACTCTGTTACTGGGCAGAAAACATGACCGTGACGTGATTTACACAGGCAAGACTAAGCTGGAGGAGTTAAACTAAAGTTAAAGCGTGGATACTGCCCGAATTTCTGCCCAAAAGGGGTCAGAAAAATGAAGGCTGAAGGAAGGGCAGATTAGCAAGTCCTTTTGAGCACAGTTTTGCATAGCAGTATATTGTTTTTACTTCATATATTATTTGGTTTTGTTTGTTAATGGGAAGGAAGGGAACAAAAAGAGAGGTAAGAAGATACCACGAGAATACTTACAAAGAAACTTTAGATCCTTTGGTGCTACCACTAGCCATACATTTAAACATTGCAGTTTATGAAACTATGTGTTTTTTAAAATAGCTATATGCTTGCTTTCCTATTTGTGCATTATCTAAAAGCACTAGTTATTCTCAAAAACATCACATTGAATTTTCACAGCAGTCACTCTGTCTTGCTGAGCCAGATTTCTGGCTCATTCCCTTTATAAGTGAACAGTATCTACTCCAGGACCTTGCTGACAAGTTGTCCACCATTTTGCATTTTTATTTTGTAATATCTGACAGTTTACTTGAGTAAACTCTCGTCTATGCTTTTCTGTATACACAGGGCGTTCCTTCCTGCTGTCCACCCTCTGCTGGTGAGGAGGATTAACATCGTAACCAGCTTCTGCTTCTAGCGCTTCCTGTTCTTCCAGGGTCACCAGAGGGGGCTTCCCTCCTCGACTTCAGCTCACAGCTGGCAAATGTCGACTGTATTTCTGTTTGGAACTTTATCAGGTATATTTTCAGTTAAGTTAAATTTAGTCTAGGGCTGTCTCCCTACTTTGAGATCTTGTATAGCGAACTTTAATATCTTGGGCCCTCCTACCCCAGAATTCTCAAATGAAGTTGCAAAGCCCAGTATCTCATAATATAACTGTATTTGCAGGGCAAGTCTTTAAAGAGATGATTTAGTTAAAAGGGGGCCATTAAAGTGGGCCCCCCAGCCAATAACTAGTGTCCTTATAAGAAGAAAAGGAGACAGGATGCAGAAGAAATAAGATGTGATGACACTGTGAAAAGATGACCACCTACCTGTAAGCCACAGAGGAAGGCCTTGGGAAAAGGCAGACTGCATGTCCCTTGATCTCAGACTGCCAGGCTCTCGAGCTGCCAGAAGCGCCTTTGTTCAAGCCACCCGGCCTGTGACAGATTGTGTCTTAGACAAGTAATACACATGTCCTTCTCTTACTGTAAGAATGTTAAAGGTGTATTCCTAGGAAAATCAAGCAAGTACTTTTGTGTTGTTGTCTGGGTCTGCACAGACCCAGAACAAATTGGGGTGAGGTAGTTGCTAAAGTGTTTGCATCCCAAACATTTATAGATTCTGTCCCCAGAACCTGCATTAAAATGTTATGTGCAGTGGTTCACCCATGTAATCACAGCACTTCAGGGACAGAGTGGAGGATCTTTGGGGCCCTCTGGCCAGTCAGTCTAGCCTAATTGGCAAGCTCCAGGCCAATGAGAGAGCCTGTCTCAAAGAAGGTGGACAGCATCTCTGATGATGGTACTGATTATCCTTTGGCCTCCATATGCTCATTCAAACATATGTTATTTGGCCTCCATATGCTCGTTCAAACATATGTTATCCCCACATGCGTACACACATACATGCATGCAATTGTGCCCAGTTCCTGATTTGGTTTTAGGGTAGAAAATACATTTGCAAAGCTCACTTTTACAACAAAACCATGTCCTCCTTCCACTTATTGCCAAGAAGAAATCAATAAACAAAATATAAAAGAACAAGCAATATTAGTGGTAAGAGTAAGGAAATCTAGGGGTGTTTATTAAAGTGTGTATTTGCATGCATGTTCTCCACGGCCTAGAAATCTCAGTTTTAGAAATTCACTCTATGTAAATGGATCGATGGTTGTTTAGCAAAAGATATTCATGGCCATGTTATTTGAAATAAAGTGACAGTTCAGAATTACTGACTAAAAAATCCAGATAGTCATCAGGTTAGCAAACTTGTATAACAAGCATTCTTACCACCAAGACATCTTGGTATCATTGCAGTGTCCATTCCAAAGTTCAATGATGATCATGTTAGCTGCCATGCGCTGACTCCGGGATCTATAACCCCGGGATCCTGATCGAGACACAGGTCATTCACATGGGCTTGTGCGGATAACCATTCTTTATTGACATTGTGGTTCCTATTTTCTCCTAGAATTCTGGCACAATTAATTCCTTTAAATTTATGGAATGCACAGCAGCCCCCATTGTCAAAGAGGAATTCCCCCTAGAAAACAAACCTATTTTTACTATGTCTTAACAGTCATTCCTTCCAGGAGTACAGTCTGATGAATTTTGTCTCCTCTTTTTTTCAGTCTTGTAGTGCACATGAGCTTCTTTTTAAAAGGATTTTTTGTTCATTATTTTAAGTGCAGGTGTATGCTTGAATATATGTGTGTTCACCATGTGTGTGCAGGTATCTGCAGAGGCTAGAAGAGGGCTTTGGATTTCTTGGAACTGGAATCATAGGCAGATTGTGAGCTGCTGATATGGGAACCAGGAACCAAGTCCTAATCTTGTGCAAGAATAGCAAGTGCCTCTTCATTGCTGAGCACCTCTCCAGTCCTGATATTAGCTTCTAAACAATTACATAAACGTAAGTCAATACATAGCTAGTGTCTCACAAATGTCTGCTGATGAGTGGAATAACTGGTCTTTGGGGGACTAGTGAAAATCTGGTTGCTAAAGAACAACACACATTCAGATTTCAGACATAATACAAAGGATAAACTTAGATGAGAAAGGACCTATCATGCTTTCAGAATATCCCATGCTAAAAACCTATTGTGCTGTGAAGCAGTTTGAATTCTCATATTTCATGCTGAGACACTGGCCTTTGAGAACTAGGTGAGAGACAGAGAGGGAGAACACAGGGCTTGAGTCTGTAACCTCTACATTGGAAGCTCAGCCCAGCACCTCTTGTACACATGGTGCTCACAGACTTTAGTCAGATGACCACTTTGTCAACCTGACTCTTTATGGTAAAGTACCACATCTGTTCTTTCTTTGTTTTCTTGCCTGTTTTGAGACAGGGACTACTGTGTAGCCTGGGCTAGCCTGAAGCACAATCCTTCTGCAGCAGCCCCCATGAGTACTGGGATCATAGGTATGTCTCACCATGCCCATCTCATTTTGTTCATATTAAGGAAGGAGGATTGGAGGAAGCTAGTGGTTAGGAATATCTAGGGTAGCACCGATCAAGAGGAGGTGAGAAAAAAGGTCGTTTTTCAGGAGAGAAATTTCTCTCTGACTGGAAGAGTTGCTGTGAATTCTATAAACTAAGTATTTTAGTGTTGATATTAACATCTTTCTCTTAAAATGACTTTCTTATCCTTTTGGTTATGTCAAAGTCACTGCTTTATTGCTGTGAAGAGACACCATGATCTCACAACTCTTATAAAAGAAAGCATTAAGTGTGGCTTGCTTATAACTTCAGAGGTTTAGTCTATTATCATGGGAGTGAGTTTGTGGTACACAGGCAGGTGTTGTGCTGGAGCAGTAGCTGAGAGTTCTACATCTGGATCTTCAGGCAGCCAGAAGAGAGAGCTACTGTGTTTGCTTGGGCCCTTGAAACTTCCTCCAACAAGGCCACCTCCTCCTAACCCTTCTCAAGTAGTGCCACTCCCTGATGACTAAACTACAAACATATGAGCCTACTCAAACCACCACAGGTTACAATCTTTAGCTTTTAACTTCTGAGCCACCTCTAGCTCTAAAAGAAAAAAAAAAGACTTTTGGAGAGTCAGAGTGAAGAAGCAAGTCTGTCATTGCTAATATACCTGCCATTCAAAATGACATCTTGCCTGAGGAATGGAACCAAAACAGTACAGGAACATCACAAAGATCATTAAAAATTGGGAGATAAAGGATGGTGAGACACCTGGGAGCTGATTTAAGGGCCATTGGTCATGCAAAGGTTCAGACCCCTGACCTCCCCTCTACCTTAGGCTTTACCAGAAACTATGAAGGTGAAGGTCAATCTGTTCCTTCTCTATACAGCCATCCTGAGGACACTCTGTCAGACAGAAATGATACTAGGGTTGGTAAGTCTATAGGTAAATATTTAAGTCAATAAAGAGAGGGCAGCTGACATGAAAACAACTATAACATCAAAGCTAAAATTTCATCTAAGGGCCAGAATTTGTCGGCAAGCTAAGGCAATAGAAGAAAAGGGGGAAGCAGTTATTGCTGATCAGAGAAGAACTTGGAGACAGTAAACAAAAACAACAACAACAAGCCACACAGTGTCTGCAAGAAGAGTCTAGTGGATGATGCTAGAGTATGAGACTGAGTTATATCCAAAAAAAC